GGGGGGGAAAAAAAAAAAAAAAAAGGGGGGGGGGGGGGGGGGGGGGGGCGTGTGTTACGTGTCGGGAGGCTTGGTAATATTCGCTGTTAGGTAGCCGGCTGTTGTTGGTGTAACCTAGGCAGAGAGGTGAATCGAGGAGGAAAGGATGGCATGCACTGTTGGTCAACCGAGCGTGGGGTGGACTGGGTGATAACGGTGAATTTATTTTGTCCTCCGATCCTTCTTGTCGCTTTTTTATGGCCTTCGCTCTTCGCGTCTTGTTACTCTACGCTCGCTAAGTCGCTGTCTCTGACGTGCTTCCTCACGTCTTGCGTATTGTAACCCCTCGCGAATCATGTTAAAAATTGCAGGCCCTGAGCGACCTGTCCCTGATCTTCAGGAGCGCTGTCCTCGGATCGACGGGTGACGTGTTGAACATGTTCGCAGACATTCTCAAGGACAGATCTGCGAATCGGGTAAGCGCTGCCTAAAAGGAGTACCACAATCCCGGACGGGAGAGAGCAGCCTACTGCTACCGTTGTTATACAGTCAACACCCTGCTTGAGGAACGTGGCAAGTTTATAGATTGAGCGTTTGAAAACTCAAAACCTAAGAACTAGAGCATCGTTGGTGAGCTCGGTCTACAACTAGAACCTATATAGCAGCCATTCGTAGCATTGCCCTAGGGACTACTGTAAGAGCCCCAGCCTCGACCTAAACTATAACATTACAGAGGTTCTTAAGTGCGGGCCTAGCTGTGTGTGGCGGAAGCACGTAATTTTTTAGCCTGTTCGCGCGCGCGAGAGTGGTCCTGGAACCCAAACCTTACGTATGTGTGATTGACGTGTTTGAGCGAATCAGCCGCATCCTCAGAACGCGTTGGTCTGTTAGTTTTTTTTCGTCTGTGGAGACGGCGGGTAGAATGCCGCCGGCCCTCGCCAGCATTCTTGAAACCCAGTTACCGTATTCCCGCCGGAGATGATCGGTCACACACACTTGAGCGATTTTGGAGGTTCCTGTTGATCTCTTTCCTTCGAGTGTGGCATGCCTTGTGGTACGCGAGCGTGTTGACAGAACTGGCCCTGGTGGTTTTGCGACGTGTTTGGGCCAACAGGCTGTCCTATCCAACGCCCCCGCTTCGCTCGTCTAAGCATTTTACATATACTCAACCAATACCAACGGACCGGGTTTGAGTTACGCTTACTCTAAAACCTCTGTATAAGCGTTTAGTACTACCCTACTAAACGCATCCTCCCAAAACCAACCTCAATTTTTGTTTCTTTCTACCAGGGCATGACAGCTGTGGCCGCCGAGGCTATCTCTCGCCTCCTGTTCTTCGAGCTGTCCCACGACCCCGAGCTATTGGCGAGGCTTGTCGTCTTGTATTTCGAGAAGGGTTCCGCCGCCGACCCCTCCGCGGGGTCCCGTGGGGACGAGGACGGGGAAGAGGAAGATTTGGAGGAGGACGCCAAGGCCGTTGGGAGCAGCGTGCGACTCAGCCAGGTATGTCTTCACAAGCGGGCGTGTTGCAATCGCTCTGTGCTGTGTACCATTTAGATTGTTGATTGTTGTCTGTGTATTATGTTTCCTCTTCCCACACTTTTCCAGAACTGCTTCTTGGTTACTGGGTGGTGTCGGCTACTATTGACGCCTTCACAGTTATCGTGTCTCTGCTTACCCTGCAAACCAGGATGGCCGCCTTGGTGGCTCGCATAGGAAGTCAGGGCTTAGCGGCGAACCTCCTCCCTCCCTCCCCCCTCTCCCCCCATGTATGTACGCTGATCATCTGCAATCCGCCATGGTGACGTGCGTAGATTCTGGGTGTGTACTTCCGGTCTCTGCCCTCCGCTGGTCCGAGGGTGCGCGACATGCTCTCCGAGTCCGTGCGATACGTCATGGGCGTCCTCAGGGGCATCGCCGAGCTCAACGTTGCTGCCGAGGTACAAAACACGTCGTTTTGTTGTTGTGATTTTCTGTTGCAGACGAACTAACAGCGAAAATTGTTGTTGTTGCTGTTGTGATTTTCTACATATTGCGCACGAGCTAATAGCGTACTAGTGTTGCTGCTGTTCTGGTTTTCTTTTGCTCACGGCGAACTAACAAGACGGACGCACCGTACGTTTCACACGTAAGATACTACACCCCTGGACCGATTGTCAAAGCTCGATTACACTGCGGCCATAGCAGCAGTGACGGTGCCGAAAATGCGCCCTTTCCCTGCTGCTGTGGCATCCTCTTGATCGTGGAGGAATCGAGATTGTAGAATGGGTCCGAAAGGTGTGAGTTGTGTTGCGTGTGCAATCCGTGATTTCCTTACACCCTACCTGCCTTTGCTGATGCTACGTACTGGTTACGATAGAGGATATTCGGCTTGACCGCTTCGCTTCTCCAGGTAGTCGCAACTCTGTTCCGGCTGACTACAGCAATATTTGGATTTTCTTGATATGGGCAATCCATCTCCGTGTACAAAAGTAATCGCTTCCGGTTGTGGCTCCTACGTCAGTGATGAGGTGGAAAATGTCGCGTTTTTCTTGTATATTTTCGGTCGATGAACGCGATGTGTAGCAGTCCAAACCCCGCCATACAACAACGGCGGCATTTGTTGGCTCCCTTTTCTGTTTTTTTCACCAGAGAAACAGCGAGGACGCCGGGAACGCGATACGTAATAGCAGTCCAAGCCCCACCATGAAACAACGGTGGTAATGATTGTCTCTTTTTGTCTTCCTTTTTTCTCCGTTGTTTTTGTCCCCTTTTTTTCTTTTTTTTGCACCAGAAAAACAACGAGAACGACGCGAACAAGACCGTGGCGAAGATCGAAGTCCCTTTCCAGGACGTGGTGAAGTTTGTGAGGGAGCTTCTGATGGTGCAGCAGGAGGAGAGCGCCTTGCGCGAGGCGGAGGCGGCGGAGGAACCTTCGTTGACGAAGAAAGAGGTCGAAGAAGAGGGCCAGGAAGAAAAAGAAGACGGCAAAGACACGCCGGAAAAGGTGTGCAACTCCCACATTTTTTTTTGCTCGATGTTGTGAGTGGTAGAGTACGAACCGGTATGTATTGCACTTATATAAAACGTTTTGCTTTTTCAGCGTCCGTTGTGCCTCTATCTTCTTTGTTACGGCTAGGCTGTGTTTGGCACGCTCGTCGGTTGGGAGGGAGGGGAGCAATTTTCGCGCAGCGCAAAGTTGTTGCTACAATATTCGTCCTATCTGATGTAATACCTGCGGTGCCTTGTGCGGGTGTTGGCTCCGACGTTCCAACGTTTCCTGATCCGACTGATGGAAAGTTGACGGTGGTGTGTGTCACTGTCGTTTCCTGTGATGATCTGCCCTCCCACTCCCCCCTCAAAGTGAATCGACATCACGAAAGACATGGCAATCAAGACCGAACTCAAAAGGTTAGATGTGCCCTTACCAGGAGCAGAAACGGTGCTCCGTTTTAACTGTCACGCAACAAACATACCACGCAAGTGACACAACAGATATCTATCCTTTGGCTTACCTACCTGCCTGCCCAACACGTCGTAGATACTACCCTCGCCGGAACCTCCCCCCCACCCCCCGTATCAATGTAACCCTGACCATCACGGGGCCCCATCCATCGATTCTTCCAAGGCCGAGGCTGAGAAGAGCAGTAGCAGCAGCGCGGGCACGGCAGGCGCGGCTGGAGGAGTGGATGCGACTGGGCACGTCGCGCTCTGCATCACCGAAGAGCTCTGGACTCTGAGCGGCATCGACGGCGTCTCCGAGCTCGCAGCGTCGTTGGCCAAAGTGCTCACGTCTCTGCCTCTTCCGGAAGACGACCAGGTGTGCTTCGATATCCTCTGTTGCGCGCTGGTGGCGTGTGTTGGGGTGCGCTTTGTATGCTGTCGCCAGTGTCTGTGACGTCTTTGTGGTGCAAGGTGGGGGCTATGGACGAGATCGAACATCCGTTCTTGTATTCTAGGGACGTTGAGGGCAGCGGCAGTCTGGTCATACAGGGGTGATGCTCACACATGTTTCATTTGTCTATGGATGTCCCGAAGAGGCACGCGCGAAGGCTAAGAAAGTCGACAGTAGAGTAGCCCGTGTGAAGACGCATCAAGGAAGTTTTATGAAGAGATACACTATTTTTTCCAGCAGTTTTCTGACCCTTCCCTACCCCCTCACAAATGCAGAGGAGCAAGGTGGTTGGATTGGAGCAGCACGTTCATCGGATGGCGCGATCAAGAGTCAACCGAGACATCAAGCGAGGACTGAGTGCCCCCCCCCCCCGTCCCCCAATTTCCACCCCTCCCCTCCGCGGTCCGGACCTGATCTTCCCGATGTCCTGTAGGTGACCCTGAAGCGCCTACGCAAGAACGTGGACAGGCTGGAGTCTCTAGGCGATAGCCGCCTGGGCGCCAAGGTTTCGAGGGTCATTGCCAAGTATGCCGAGGTGCGTACGTAGTCTGACAATACTTATGGCAGTGCCTCCGGGGGGCAGTTGCTTTGGAGAAAGTGCAGTTCCTCTGTGGTTGGGAAATCGGCCGCAGGGCTTGAACACGCACGGGGTGGTGGGTGTGCACACGGACGGTACCTACCTACCCTCCGCGTGCGCGAAGCACTTGGCTGCTGCCATGCGCGGGGGTATATCTGTAACTGTAGCGCGGTACGATTCGCGTCGCGTATCTCAGGAGTGCTTGTACATCGCCTTCGTAGCGTCTTCTGTTGCAGCGAGGCAACCAACTCCTTCCCTTCGGGTGGGGGTACCATGTTTCTCCGTGGCTGGCTGCCGCATGGGTTGTGCGTTCGGGTCATATTGCAGTGCCGGTAGTCTTAGCGACCGCAGGGCAAACGCTAGAACTGCGACAGAGATCCGCAAGTTTTGCCACTAGTGTTGTAGTTTGCCTCAAATCAAGGCAGCGAGCGGAGTGTGACACTCTTTTTCTTTCCTGCCTGTGATTTGTTGTTGTTGTTGTTGTTGTCGTTGTTGTTGTTGTTGTCTTCTCGTTAGAATCATTTCCGATCTCTGGTGTGTGATGGAGAACTGACGCTGTTTTGTGCTTTTTCTGTTTGTGGACTGGTGTGTGACGGGAGAAGGTTCTCTTCGCCGCCGACCTCACCCCCGACGATAGCGACAGCGACGACAACGGCAACAGCGACGGCGGCGACAGCGACGAGCACACACGCGCCGCGGACAAGTCCGGGGACGAAGCGGAGGAGGAACAGAAGGCCCCAATGCGCAAGGTTCGTGCTTGTGCCGTTGTTGTTGGTGGGGATGCTGTTTACGTTGTTGTAGGCGGTGGGAATGGTGGTGGCCTCATCGGTCCCCCTCTTTTGTATTTTCTACGTCACCGCAACTCGTGTTTTCTACTTCACCCACAACAAAATGATTGTAGTTTCGGTGCTTCCCGTCCGAGTGTTGGTTTTGATCGACGCAAACGAAGGAGAAGCAAAGTTCTTTTGCACCCGATCTCGTCCCGTTGTCTTCCCTTTGTCTTTTTCTCTGGCGCCGATCTCCGAGAAACCTACCGATGTTTTATCGATATCGATATTTTTGGAGCTCCTCCCTCACTCCGTTCTTTCAACCCCCTCCTCCGGTGGCATTGTTGCTGTTTCCGTGTCTCCCGCAGAAGCGGAGCAGCAACACGTCCTCTTCTTCTTCGTCTGCCAGCCTGCAGCCGCCGTCCCGCCGACCTTCCCGCCAGAGCAAGGTGGCCGCGCGCGAGCGCATGGCGCACGCGGAGGCGGAGGCGGTGGCGGCCGCGGCCGCCGCCGCTGCTGCTGCTGCTGCTGCTGAGGAGGAGGATCGAGACACTTCGGAAGACGAGGACGAGGAGGAAAGCGACGGCGAAGATGATGGCACGGAGCATGGGCAAGCGGAGGCCGAAGATGGCCGTGGTGAAACCGTCGACGATGACGACAATGCCGTTGAGTCGGAGGACGACGACGAGGATGATGGTAAGCAGCTTGCAGGATGATGTTAGGAAGTGGGTCGTCATCTCGTAGGCTTCAGATTTCGCAAGACCGAATCTTTTTTTTTTAGGTTTCCCGCCGACGCTTGTGGCGTGGCGGTGTTTTTGTAGGGGTTTTGCTCTTGCCTGTGTCGCCCGTCTCTATCCGTTGGGTTGCAGCGTCCGAAACCACTCCCCCCTCGCTTGGCTTCAAACCTCGGTACGTAGAATATTTGTTGCTATTCGCGTCACCCCTCTCGCCGGCAATGTAGTCGCTTCTGACGACCCCTCCCATCTTCCTTCCTCGGTTGGTTGTGTAAACGTATCTTAAACGCGTGCGATTGAACACGCTGATGCTGCTGCTGCCCCAGGCTACGAGAGCGCCGCCACCAAGGTATCATCGCCCGCGAGGGAAAAGCGCAGCAGCACCCGACGCAGGTCGAGCAGGGCGAAGGCGAGCCCGCTGGCCGAGATCAGCAACAGCCCCGGTCGGGGCAGGAGGCTGCGTGCCTGAGTGATGATATCCCCACCCATCTGAGTGGTGATGCATCCATCCATTCATCTGCTCACCGAAGGGTGTGTGCAGCCGTAAATGTTGTTGTGGTCCCAACGGCGAGTAGGACTCGCGGTGATACTGCTGTGGTGCATGCGGTACCTCGACCTTCTTTGTTTTTTCTGCGGTATTTCTCTTGTCTTTTTTTGCTTCATGAGTAGCATGTAAGCTTCCGAGGTGAAGGTTGCCCCGTTTGTTGGAGCTTGGTGTTGCCGTTCGACTGGCGCGGAATTGCGTGTGGAAGAAATCGACATCTTGACACTCTTTTGCCTTCTTTGTTGGTTTTGCAGCAGTCTGTTGTTGCTATTATTGTTGTCGGTGGGAACACCTCATCTCTTTGTGCAACGATCAGTCGAACGTGCGCCAATAGTCTCTTTTTTTTTCTGTTCATTTGGGGCTTTTAGGCCGAAGAATGTACGCGGTGTGATCGATCCATCCCGTTGGACGGGACGGGGAGGGCGGGCGCGTTATTATACTTTGTACATTGTTTTAGTCCGTGCCCAAAGAACGTGCTTGTGTAAATGCCATATCGGGTTCCGTTGGCCACGTTCCATCCAAGTTTGTCTACATGAAACGTGGAGTAAGTGTGTCTTTGCGTTTTTCGGGGGGATTGTTGTTGGACACCTAAGTGTTTCCTGTGCTGCGGCAGTTCAGGCGTGCTTTGGTTTTGGCGCGAAAGGAGAAAGGTTATGTCGGGGTAGTATGCCTATTTGCTGGAGTTACATACGTAATCATCGCCAAGGGTCCTGACAGGTAGATCGTGTGACAACGCGTTGTGCCTGAGGCAGGTGACGGGGTCCGAAGACACCCCCCCTCTTGAGGCGAATGATAATCCCGCCACACCGGCACCAGGCTTCAAACTCGCGCACTGTTTTCTGTGGTGCGAGCGTTATTTTTTATTGCTGCAACACCTTTCTTCGTTTATTCCGCAGGTCGATTTTTTCTTCGCACTCGATTAGTATCCGTATTATGTCTAGTTCAAAACACACACAAGGCATTTAGTCCACAAATAGGAAAACCGCATCCAGATCCTCCGAATCAACGGTTGGCCGGGGTCTTACGGACGCTACAAATCATTGGGTGGTCGCATCTATGCATACGAGATACAGGAGGCTTTGCTAGACTAGTGCGGTTCCTCCTCCTGGGGTAGCGTGGCGTAGCCCGCAGCAACCCGGCTTCGCTTGGGCGAGACAGCCATGACGAGCCGATGCAACGGGGACGTGCTGCGCCCCTCGCCGCCGCTCCCGTTCTCTCGCCCCGGCGGCCTCCTGGTCACCCGGTTCTTGGGGGAACGCCGGGTGGGTGAAAGCTTCATCAGATACCTTCGCTTTTTCCGACGAGGAATCGGCGAACCCTAAAGATCACAAGGGTTGGGGGTGGGGGGTGGCACGGGGTTGGGGAGGGGGTGTTACGTCTCCAAGGTTACCTGCTTGCGGGGAATGAACGGCGTTTACCGTGGTGCCATCGGTCCTCTTGTGGGGAACAACAGCTTCGCGTGCACCGTTTGTTGCCGTGTGTGAGTTCGATTGTCGTCGTCGTGGAAAATTGCGCGGCTCTGAAGAGAGATGCCACCTAATAACAAGGGATGGAAGTTACACATGCACAACAGCCATTGCTCCTTGTGGATCCCCGAGGTTTGACATTCCATGGCAACCGACTCGTGTGGATCCCATCTCTTACTTCTGAAATTCGCACATGCTTGCCTGCTGCTGCCGGCGCAAAGTTCCGAAGAGACACAGTTGAGGCCGGGCGTACAGAGTATGATGTGGGCACTCACCGAAGGTATGTTCTTTCCGCGATGATGAGTTTTCACTTTCCCAAATCTTTTTCCGAGCGGATTGACACACCACACCTCTATGCTACAACTACTGTAACTGCACACACACCCTACGATTTTGCCTGAACACTACACCCGCCTGTGTCTACAAGGGTAAGTCTAAAGAGACATCACCCAATACAAAAATCATGCGTGCTGTTTTTGGTTTAATTTTGTGAAAAGAAGGAATCATGCTCGACAAACGTTACAGAGATGGGGTCTTGTTTGAAGGCCACCTCCACACCAGCTGAATACTTTCTGTTTTTTGGGAAGCAACCTCGGGGTCATTCAGGAAACGGCACGTGCTTTTCCCTTTCGCTGATACCTCGGTTTCCGTGGTGGCAATGTTGCGCATCAAATCCCCGTGGGCCTCGAGAAGCGTCTCGGGGTAGCCTTGTTCGTAGCATTCATCTCCCTGAGCGTCACACACCATCAGCGAGTAGTTTGAGTGCAACGGGCGGGCGGCGTTTGGAGGAGGGGGGGGAGGGGGGGTCGTCGTTCTCCCTGTCGTGCGCATCCAACCCAAAGAGAGAGTGGGTTGATCGCTCTTGATGTCGCATCAATAATAAGCGTTGATCGACTACACTATTGATTCGCTGTTGTTTAGAACCTCTCTTCAACACTTCATGGCTCGCGGAATGGCAACCACGTGGTGCTACGTGCGGGGCACGAGTGAGTGTAGCTGCGCCATGGTGGACTGACTCTGAACATCGTACAACGGACATGCACACACATGTGCCATGAAGGACGGCGTAAGCACACGAAACGGCGCGATATGGTAGGGCTACGGTGCTTGCCTCCTGGGTGTCGTTGCGACTGTTGTCCTCCACTATCACGTCGTCGTCGTACCCGTTTCGGGAGCTCCTCAGCTCTAGCTGCAGTTCACCGGCACAGCACCACCCGCGCAGGCATCGACCACAACGAAATCAACAACGGTCGATCAAACGTGAGCGTGCGAGCGGCCGGAGATAGGATGATGTGCGTGCTCCGCCGCGTTGTTTCGAAGCACACGGGATGGCACGAGCTTCGGCGACATCAAAGACAACCTAGTTTGCTCTTCTTCTTGTTGGGGGTGAAACGGTCAAGCATGGAATGACGGCGGGACGGGTTGGCTACGGGAGTTACCATCAGATCACCACCACACAAAAGCTGTTGTCGTGGCCCCTTCGACAATGACCACTGATCGCGCTCATGCCAATGCACGCTCGATGCAACCATGGGTAGGATGACGACGCCTGGTGTTTGTGTTGGGGCGGGGGGGCGGTCTTGCGCTCTACTTAGAGGGGGGTATGGACTTGTCCGCCCGGTGTTCGTCTCTTACCGGTGAGATGCGTGTGGAAAGTGAAGTCAACAAGTAGAGGGCAGAGAACAAAAGTTTCACACGCGCAACAAGAACCAGTTTTTTTATCGTCGTAGCGACGACGACGGATAACTCACAAGCAAGAGTCGCTCGAGCTTGCGCTTGCGCTGACGCAGCTCCAGGTGATACTCTATTAGCGTGCTGATCTTGCCAGCGCTGAAGACGGCAATGATGAGGCTGGTCAGAAACAGGGCGCTCTTTATCAGCTCCGGATCCACCATCCACAAGAGCCAGAGGTTGAGGATGGTCAGGGGCAAGTCCATGACGACGGCCAGCTGCACCTTAAACTTGTTGATTTGGAGGTGCTTCAGGATCTGCACCGGCCGCAACAAAAAAGACGCGCGTACAAGTAGGGGGTGGTGGTCAGTCATGACGGACTTGGGCAGGGAGGCGTGTGAGATACATGATCTAGCTTACTTTCCCAGATCTCCCCAACCGGCATCGGTGTCTCGACACACCGGAGAAACACCGAGGGTCGGGCCTCAAGGCTTAGGAGCTCCAACGGTGGGCGCCGTATTAGTGGCACAGCCATTGCCAAAACAATCATCAAAACGACGATCCAATGTGTTTCAGTACCAGAGAGCTCCACGTGGTCCACACCACACCTTCCCGGGGCCAAAACTATTTTCCAAGACCTCTGGTTCCTCGTCGCAGCTGGGTGGCAAGCGGCAAGGCAAGAAAGAACACGCGGGGCGGACCTTCACGAGCTCCAGCACCATCTTGGCGTCGTCGGGGGTCATGATCCGCCGGTCCGACCGCCTCCTCCCGGGCAAGTACTGGTTGGCCGGCATGTACACCACGAGGACCTTCTTCCCTTCCTTGTCAACCCTCTCCGCCACCGAAACGTTCACTAGCATCCACTTCATCCAGATTATCTTTTGGTCGCAACGGCGGGGGGGTAAACAGGCGGTATGTGACACTTTTTGTTCTTACCCGGAGCTATTTATGTAGCTGCTGCGAACGCGGTCCATGCGGGATGCATTATGGGTATTGTGGAAGCTAATGTAAAGAGTGGACTTTACTGTCGTCCTCAAACTAAAGACTTTAGGCATGTCGGTGATATCAGGTCGCGGCTTCTCCACCCAGGCCCGTCTTCTGAGGTGCCTGCCCCATTTAACGGATGCGCTCGTGCAACGGCAACTGCTGCTGTGCTCCGTGTACAACACGACTGCTTCGCTTACAACCTCGGGCGAATTTTCAGGCCTCCAAAAATAGTCTGTGGTCATGATAAAAGTAGTTATCCTTCTAAGCGCCGTTGACGGGGGTGCAAGGCACGTTCTTCGTGCGTGTCCAACGGGTAACAATCCTCGGAAATCCCCCCCAAAACAAAAACGGCCCCAAAATCCTGCGCAGGCGAGAGAACAAGCACATCCTTTGCTCACCATGTACAAACGGAACACGTTTAGCGCCACTCCGAGAGACACGGCGAGCCAGTAGATGAACTGCATCACGCCCTGGATAGCGCCGATGTCCAGCAGGTACGCGAAGAGGGCGTTGCCCTGGGTGCCGAGCGGCCCGGACATCCGAACGAAACAAATGAGGACTTAGGATTAGGCAGGTTTCGTGCGATCAGGCCACGCCTCGACCCAACGAAAAGGCGAGAAGCGAACAAATGGCCCGCAGGCAGCCCAGGCCACATGCGGTGGTCAATTGTCAAACAATCAGGCGAAGCAGTACCTGAGCGCGCTCATCCCATCAACTCAACCCCCCCGCCCGGGAACAATGCTCCGTCCTCTCGAGACCGCGTGGTCAATGGTCTAACCGCCAGGTCTTGCAAAACATGAGCACGCCCCCAACCCCCCCGGGCTAACTGCACTTCCCCGTCGAAAGCACACGGCCTTTATCTAACTGTCCCCTCGCTCACCGTGATGACATCGATCGTCTCCAACGTGTGGAAAAACACTGCCCACATGTGCGCCTTCCTCTTGGCCCCGGTCATCTTGAGCGGCGTCTCCGTCCGACTATCGACCTTTAGCTTCTTCTTCTTGTGCACTGCGTGCGGATCGTGCGGTTCGTTGGAATCGAGACGCGTGAAAAGAGGGGCATGCTTCGGGTGCTTACGTAGCAGAAACACAAGTTATCGAGCCGCGGCGGGGTGGGGGGTTGGTCGTGGAGGGAGGCGCATGGCGTGCGGCGAGTGATGTGGGCATAAGCGCAACAGAGCTGGTACCACTTCAGGCTGATACGAGCGAGAGAGGCGCGATGTGGGGTACACGCTCTGGCTTTTGTTATGGCTTTTTTTATTGGCCTCGTTGCGCGTGCGGTGCAGCGTCCCGATACCTGTTAGACGTGTGCAAGTACGCTCGGTAATTTGATTCTCGCCGCATGATCTCCGTAGCCCCGTTCTAACGATGCCACTTGACACGCTTCCCGGAGGAATGTCGGAGGAAACGTCCATCACTACTGTAACACAGGAGAGACCCAACAACGCCCGTCCTCGACAAACTCTCGGCACTTGAACCCGTTGCGCAGGTAAAGCGCCACAACATCAACACCAATGTGCCCGGTATGGACTATACCTTTCTTCTGCCAAGTGTAGTAGACGATGCAGATCCCAGCCAGGGTGGAGGCTCCGACGGCGAGGTAGATCGCCAGCCACTTCCGCGAGTTCGCCAGGAGCGTTTCGCACTCGTGGCTGCCTCCGAGTGACGAGAACCCGTCGGGGCAGGGCTCGCACGCCCTGCTGGATGACGCGCCTGGTTGGGGGTGAGGAGGGCGAAGAAAGACGCACGATTGACTTATTCAGTAGGCAGAGGGGGGGAGGTGGGGGGGTGTTGTTCCTTTGCTCCTTGTTCTGGTCTTTGTTTGGACCATGGACCACGCGTCTCGAATGAGAAGAGACGCACGCGGCAGCGGCAACGGCGGGGGCGGAGGGTGTGTGCGTACTCATTCAATGCTTGTCCTTGGTGTGTCTCCAGAACTTTCGCCACGCATATCAAACGAAACGGAGTACAGCCGCAGGGTGAAAACATTGGCTACTTAGTACCACACAGCAGGCACTTGCGTACTCTCCGCTACCTTACCCGTCTCGCACGGGAGCTTGCACCACGAAACGACGTCTCTATGAGGCAAGCCGATCGTGGGCGGCAGACTCAGTCTATGTGTTGGGCATCTACACGGAAGGGTGTCAAAGAATCGGCTCGCATCTCACCAGGCTCCGACGAGTATTTTCCCGAAGAACAGGGCAGGCACACGTCCACACTCGTGGCCCCTGCTCGTCTCACCGCAGGTAGAGACGAGGAGGGAGAGGAGGAAGGCCCAGTCCAATCAGTGGGATCGCAACATGGCGAATCAGAGGCGTATCGTTAGGCGGAATAAAAATAAATAATGCGCGGATTGTTGAGGGTTCGGGACACAGGCGCCAAAGACGCTGTAGCTGGCTCGGCGGGGGCTGTCAAGCGGAGTACTATTAGAACCTGCTGGGCGGGGGCGGTGAAAAAGATTGATACCCGCTACAACCCGTTCTCCAAACGTACCTTCGTCTTCTGAGTAGTATCCTGCCGGACAACTCCCGCACAGTTCCGCCTCGAACAGCCCCGTCTTGGCGGAGAACGTTCCGCTCGGGCATGGCAGACAGGTCGACGATGATCCCGCCCCGCTCGTTTCCGAGTACGTGCCGGCCTCACAGGGCTACCAACGATTGTTGTTGGGAAAAGCGTATTTGCAACGGGGTTGAGAACGTGATGGGGGCCCGCCCACAAGTTCCGTCAGGTTGTGATGTCGGTTGCAAAGCCCGCGGACACCGAGGCGGGGGGGGGGCGTGATCGAGTGGTCTAAGCAACAGGCTATAGTTCAGGGGCTAAAGGCTAAAACAGAGGGCAGCAACAATGTCCAGCCTGTCTATCTCTGTGTGTTGCAGGAGACACACACACACACACACTCACACACTCACACACACACACACACACACACACAGAGAGAGAGAGAGAGAGAGAGAGAGAGAGAGAGAGAGAGAGAGAGAAGATATTTTCGGGTACAGTATATACGCCTCCGGCTCTCTTGAACGATTGTGAGACTATTCAGGAGGGGTGATCGGCGAGTCCAACGCGAAATCCAGTTATCTGAACCTTCGTGAACAGTGGACGACGAGGGCAAAATAGCTGCAGCTCGCGCCGCAAACATGACGTCAATCATTCCCCCCTATGAAAGGACCATTCAGCATACCCTTGACAAAAAAACTGAAGAAGCGGCTCAAAACCATCTATCCTCAGAAATATCAAGGATTGTCATGCTGCTTGCTCTGAGCAGCCCGCATGCTGCGGTACACTGGTGTACCCTGTCCGAACAAGCGGAGCCTCTCATCCATGACACTAAAGACTGACGTGGGATCTATTCGCCGTGGGGTGTGACAACCGGCTTTCGTTGAGCGTTGGCGTTTCAGAAACGACAGGTGAAACGATTGCGCGTTTGAAGAAGGAAAACTTACGATGCATGTGTCGGAGCTGGTGCCTCCGGTTTGCGGTGAGTAGGTCCCTTCAGGACACGGCACGCAAAGGCTGACGTCATTCCCAACCGTGGTCTGAAAATTGAAGGGTACCGTCGCCAATCCGCAACGATCATGGTTGGCGCACAGTATGTCCGGTGCCCCGCAGAATCGAAGGTCAGCGTTGTTCGCGCCACAGGGCATCAGAGTGGAAGTGGGGCGTGGGATGTCGCGCAAGGGGTTAGGAGAAGGCAAGGGTGTTGTTTCACTCGCGTTTAGCCGTCAGCCCAAAGGCTTCGGGAGGAGCAACAAGGGGCAGCGGTACGTTTTACCCCTATTCTCAGAGGTCAATACCCTGCCCCGTCGCTGTACTGGTGGTCGGAAGCAGGGCCTGACCGCCGCGCCTAAGTTGGGGTACGCTCCAAGTGCCGAGGATGGCTGCCTACGACATACTTTAGAACGGCGGCGGGCGGGCAACTTAGCCGGACTGCCCAAGAGGAATCGGCCCAGTACTCGTGCCCACGCCGTGGGGTCGGGTTCAGGGTAAGGTCAGCTCTGCTGCCACTGTTGTGCCAGTTTTAGGTTGTCCCGGGTTTTCCGCGCCAGCATTTTTCTTTCTCCGGGCGGGTTCGGGGACGGGGTTGGCTCGCAAACGGGCCGCCTCCAACTAAATAACTAAGCAATGGCACCTTGTAGGTTCCAGCCTGGCAGTCTGTGCAGGTCTCCGCGGGTTCGTCGAGGTACCGACCCGCGGGGCAAGAGCAGGCCGCCACGCTGATCGCCCCGACGCTGTCCGACGCGACGCTGCCGCTCGGACACGCGGAGCACGAGGGTACACCGTCTCCGACCCCTCCGAGAGTGTCGTAAAAGCCTGGCTCGCACTTGCACTGGGAGACGGTTTCTGACCCCTGTGCGGTTGTGGTCGCGGTGTTGGAGAACGCGTTGTGGCCGTGGGAGGCGAAGATCCTAGTCGGGGATGAGCAAGGACAACACTAAGCTACCGACTACGCGCCACTTGGAAAGAATTCTCGAAGAGAGCAGCCTCGAGACCGTGGTGTGAGATTGTTTGCGGAACAATGTGGGTGGACCAACCTTATCTGTCGAAGCATGTTATCCGCAGACATATTTTGCAACAGAGGGTATTCATCTACCGGTATTCGTGCTTCGGTCATTCCTTAGGGTGTCTATTCTGAGAGCCATGCATGCATGTATGGTGCGATTCACTTACAGTGGTCAAGATCCAAGTGTGGGTGGGGCACGCCTTGCAAGAACGCGTGGCAAACAGGTCAGCAGCTCCCCTGTAGGTTCCTTCCGGACAGGCCTGGCACCCGTCCTCAGCGTTCCCCTACCAACACAGGACGAAAGCCGCCCCATGTGGATGTTCACAAGAAAGGTCGGCGCGAAAACATGGCAAGCGGTCTCCACAGCGACGACGAAAGAATAAAAACGTTTATGCCGTGCAACAGAAGTAGAGTTGCAAACTTTCAAACGTCTTTAGGTCGTCTTGCACACTTTCAAACGTGGTATGCCACCGCCAAAGAAGTGGTAGGTCTGCCTACTACGCAGTGGGGCATTTTTCTTCCCCAACCAAACCCTCCCGGTATGGTCTGCACCCTTTGAATGAACATACCTGCATGCCTTTGATACACACACAGTGTGAATAGCCGAGGTACGAGGGGTCGAGGCTCAAGTGCACACCGCGCCCCGCTGTGTCCTGGCCCGAGATCACAGGGCACGACATGTTGTTGTGCCTTGTGACGACATCGCTGCTGTTGGCGTACGACGCGAAACTAGGAAGAGACGTATCGTTCAATCCCTCGTTTCCATCTGCGCCAAGTGCGTGCACAAGGTTTACGGAGTAGGTCAGAAGGCTTGATAATGAGAGGCAGGGTTTGTACGTTTTTCTGCTTTCGATATCGCTTGTAACACCCACACGTTGAGCCTAGGGCGGGTTGTTGCCGATAATGCTAAAGGCTACAAGTTGACTGTGGCTGGCGGCGTTTGCATTGGGAGGGAGGGCTGTGTTTGAAGGCCAAAAGCCACGATCTTGTACACCATTTAGGTTTATCCATACATTTCTAATGGACTACGACATGATTCAACTTGTACCTCCATCGACACCCCCATCCTTCCCGCTCCAACCCCTACCCTGTCTCCGTCCCCCGGTCCTACTCCTCTTCCATCCACTTGTTCTCACCAGCCAAAAATACCGACAACTGAGCGCAGTCCTCTGGAACGGGTCCGGTGAGCAGGTTGTCGGACACCGTCAAGGCGGACAACGATCTCGGAAACGAGTGTGTCTCGAGCTCCCCCTCGATACTGTTCGAGGACAGCAGCAATATCGCGAGATTCGAAGCGCCGGTCTTGACCGTTATCGAGTCGCAAGCGTCTAAGCTCTCCCCCGCGCAAGAGTGCAGCTCGAAACACTGGCCAACGATGCCGTCGAGGTAGTTATTGCTGAGGTCGAGGACTTGCAGGGACGCAAAGCCAATCACCGACTGAAGCGCGTGGTAAACTGGCATGGTGATAGCATTGCCACCGAGTGCCAGGGTTCGGAGCTCGGGTAGCCACACGGACACCCCCCTTGAATGAACAAGAGGGTAGGATGTGCTGCTGATGACTTCAAGCCACGCGGAGGGTAGCGTTCTGCGCGTGCGTCCAGCGAAGGAGGAAAGTCGACATGTCAGCGTCATCGGATACATACAGCAAGTGGGCAACAGTACAAATCCAACCGCCATTAAAGGACAACTTGATGTCTAATCTGCACGCCTCCTCGCTAGCAATACATGTACATCTGGACAGTATGGGGGCTACTATTGTACTGGTTTTAGTGTGGGGGCGGCCATTGTACTTGGCTTAGCACCGGCCTCGGGTCGGGGGCCCCGTGTGCTACCCAATCCAAAGATTAACTGGTGTTCGGGCGTTGTACTTGTATTCCTTTCAGCATCATGTACGATCGCCGCCGTTAGTGGATGCAAAAGTACCGTACTGTGTTGCCTGCAATAATATCGAATACATGCAGCACGGTAAGCCCAACCGAAAGTGTGAGGGCCTGATCCATTTGTACCGCAGGAAAACGAGGTAGGGGTGTCGGCTTACCCGGATATCTCGTTTTGCTGGAGCGACAGATGCCGCAGTGACGAGGCCTCGGTCCCCCAGCTCGTGGGAAAATAAGACAGGTCATTTCGCGAGAGATCCAGCACCTCCAGGTCTGGCATCAACCCGAAGCCAAGCGCGACAGGACCGACCAGCTCGTTGTCTGACAGGTCTATGCTTATCAATGACAGCACGTCGAACAGTTCTACCGCTTCGGAGAGGTTTCCCGCGAGGCCGTTGCCTGCGAGGGCTAGGCCCGTCACGTTCCGCCCATCACTATCGCACACCACCCCGTACCAGTCGCACACTCCGAGCGTGGCATCCCTCCACCCGCTGGAAGAAGCCCATTGCTCGCCACCGGTCGCGTTGTACAGGGCCTCCAGGCCAACTTGCTGGGTCTCCAAGTACGAGGACGATACACCACCGGCACCTCGAATCCATTGTGCTGCTAATAGTGCTGCTGCCGCAAAGCCCAAGATCGGCAATGTCTGCATTCTTCGTTCGGGCGCATGGAGAATGCCCTAGTTAATTTCATCAGCTTCGCCGCGTCACAAGCGAAACACGACCACAGCAGTCTGTGTCATAGCCTGCCCTCTCTACTGCTACTTGTAGATGTTTGCAAGTTCAAGTGGTTGTGAAGCAGAATGCTTGTCTATATCTTGTCGCTAAACTGGATGCTTTGGCCGACAACACATCGTACCACGGCGGCGGCTGTGATCTACAGAGTACAGAGTACACCGCTCAGAACGCTGGGTGCGGCGGAATTGACGTCGTTTCGGGGACCGTCGTCATACAAATCATACAATCCGGTCTTGCCCGTGCCAAACACTCTCCAGCATGCATCGAGTAACACGGGGAGGGTATGAGACGTGCACGCCATAGGATTTTGGATGACACCCTTTCCGCTTTGCCATATGCTGTTCCTGCCTTGGCCGAGCGGTCTTGTCAGAGCGTTATGGGCAGCGGTGGCGACAGCGGGGTATTTGTGTCCGACAGCATTCGCCTCGGCATACACCGAAGAAGTTCAAATAGCGGGGCTCGAGGCCCTGTACTACGCAACCAATGGGCAGGATTGGGCCAACTCGACGGGGTGGTCAGATGACTCGCTTGGCGTCTGCAGCTGGTACGGAGTCACGTGCGATAGCGAAGGTGGTAACGTGACGGGCATTTCGCTGTCCAACAACCTGTTGGTGGGCGACGTATCCGAGGCGACCGACCTCACCAATGTCATCTCGCTCGAAGAAATGGATCTATCCGACAACCAACTATCTGGCCCGGTGCCGTTGAATCTTGGGATGATGCCTAACATGGAGACACTCGATCTTTCTGGTAACGAGCTGTCATACTTCCCGGCCGCATGGGGAAGTGGTGCATCGATGCTACGGCACTTATCGCTGCAGAACAACAGAATATCCGGGTGAGAGCATTCGACACACACACGTGCATTTGAAATTTTAGGAACAATTGCCGTACGTTGTAGAAGCATGCGATATGACTAGTACTTACTATCAGCATTAGGGGCTATGGTCAACACAAGAAATTACTCTAAACGCAACAGCCAACCTTTTGGCCAATGTCGACTTCACGATCGAATGCCTTCTCGACGTGTGTATGTGATACTGCGAGGTACTCAAAACGTGTCTTACCGAGCCCTCTCTTTTGAATGCACATTCCCGGACGACACGCACCCAGCTCGTTTCCAGCTGCCTGGCTAAACGTGACCGACAGTTCTTCCTACCCACTGGTTCACCTTCAGCCTTCATCACCATGGCTACCGGAACTCCGGAGCCTGCTGCTCGGAGGAAACAATATGAATGCCACAGGATACGTTGCGCTGCAGGCAGTGGCCAACTGGAGATCGCTCCAGACTCTGGACTTGAGCGACAACGCCCTGACCGGATCCGTGGACGACGCTCTTGCTCTGTACTACTATTGCGATGGGTCTGGAAGCTCGGGGTGCGGAGGGAATGTATCGAGCGTTGCGGCACCTCTATTGCGAGTGTTAAATGTGGGCGGGAACGACTTAATAGGTGAAACATGGAGAAGTCGAAAATAGGCACTCGTAGATCCGGAGATGCCCACAAGATTGAGAAAAACCTGGGAGAGGGCGAAAACATGGGATGCTAGTGATTTGCAAGAAGGAAACGAATGGTATGGGATTGCCTGAGTTGGTCCGTCTACGTGCTCACACAAGCATCGTGTTTCGTAGAACAAAACTAAAGCACTGTGCTGTCATCGTCGCTGACTACAACCATAGCGCTGAAGAGGTCATGTTTCATCCTCCATGTCCACGGTTCAAAAATGTTTCGCTCAAACCACTCTCTTTGTGCTTTTCATCTGCGCTGTGCAACTTATTAACAAGGGTCGCCGCCACGAGTGGTAGATACGGACAACAGGCGGATAGACCTCCTTGACGTTTCCGACAACGGTAACTTTGTCGGAGAGGTCCCGGCTTCCTACTCGGAGCTGCTCATTCTCTTCGCGGAAAACACCGGCCTTTCAGGCTTAGACTTGCCAGATTTTATCGACGCCACCACCACTACGGCAGCCGGTGCATGGAATGAGAAATCGACCGTGCATGACCTCTTTGTGTGCCCGGCTTTCAAGCCGTCAGCTGATGAGAATGTCGCAGCTGTCACGCTGGATCATGCCTATGACGGGTACTCGGTCTGCACTTGCAACGACGGGTGAGACATCCCCAACTGAGCTAAGAATGACGCCTAAACATGGTAGATAATGTTGCCAGGTTGGTTCGCTTTCGAATCGGCGTTGGGGCTGCTGGAACAACCAACAGGAGCGATTGCTACGTTCTTGTAAGCCTTCCTATTTGCCCTTACTACTGCTAAACACATGTCATGGGACACGTAAGTACTGCACTCCCCGTTCTCTGCCCCGCGTGCGCCCCTTCATCCTGCCTCCGTCCGACGATTTGTCCGCGTAGACTTCAAGGATCGGGCGGTGACTCGGAGTGCTCGGAGTGCCCGCTGGGATCGTACCGCAACTTGGAAAAAGAGGACGACCCCCTCGCAGAAGGCGTGTGTTCGCCGTGCCCGTCGAATTCGACCACGATGCAGAACGGCAGCTGGCTCAAGAGTCAGTGTGTTTGCGCGATCAACTTTTACGACGAGCAGGTGTGAGGGTGCAAAACGAGAAAATGTGCAGGAACCAGCAACTGCTATTGGAGTAACCTTCCATTCCCCCCTTGCTAGGAGAAAGAGTTCACCTCCTGCTTTTGAGCTACTTGTGGGAACATACGGAGACGACAGTGCATTGGGGTGTCGCACGCTGATCTCCCGCGATACTGGTGCCTATCGTTAGTCCCTCAATGCGTGGCCTCTTTGTCAGTACCTATCATGTTGAAGTTACGCTCCGGGTGCCCATCCGCAAAACCGATTGGAACATGCGACTGACTCCTGGAATGCATAGGACCGGGTCTACCCCTATCACCTCGGACGGTCCAGTTAACAAGAACTATCCATCGCAGCGGGTGACGCCCCCTCCACCCCCCACTTCCTTCTACTACTGGCGATCGTCTTTTGCTCGCTTCCTACATTGTTTCAGGGAGGAGCTGACTCCGAGCCGTCTTGCTTGGCGTGTCCCTCGGGGTCGAGAACGCTGACGGCCGGAGCCGTGAATATCGCGTCCTGTGAATGTGAACCAGGGCGCATCTTCAACACCACGAGTAGAGCTTGCGAGGTAGAATTCAGCGTCAACTGCTGTAGAAAACTTAGCGTGTACGGTCTCGTTTCTTTTCCCACCGCAATGTGTAATGTTTGTACGAATCATCGATCGCCATGTGCCTTGGTTTGCGATTCGCGGCTCCGACAAACGTTGAAGGTTCAGGTTCTGGAGTAGCGGAAGCCGGACAGGCACAGCTTGTTTGTGATTGAGTACTGCTTGTGCACAGAACTGGCAAGCAGGCTCCTAAACCCGTGGATTGGCCTGAATGGTTGTCATCATCCCCTACGACGTGTTGGACCTTGTTGAATCTCGTCTGGCGTATGTACATGATATAGTCCAGTCTTTCCCCGGAGTTAATCCCAAGCACAGCGAGTGGTCCCCGATGGTCCTTACTGTCAGGACCGATCTGTGGTAGAACATCACTACGCCGCGCACGTTCCCGCTGCGTTCACACCCTCCCCCCGGCGACGGCTTTCCGTGAGTACAAAACGCCTCCGTTGCTGCCCCTGCCCCCCTGCTGCTCGACAACGGCCCAACACCCCGCCATCATGAAAAAGAGCTGCGTCGCCGGCACCTACAAACCTGCGTACGGAAATCATGTCGGGCTGTGCCTCCCGTGTTCGGCTGGGACATACTCCGACACGGTCGGGGCCACGTCTCAGTACGATTGCGAGGAGTGTCCTCTGGGGTTCTACGGAGGATCGTACGGCTTGTCTTCGGTGACGGGATGCGTGGAGTGTCCAGCTGGGACGTTCGGGGCCGTACAAGGTGGGAGACGGTTGCGGCCATTTGGATGACATCCGAAGGGCGGGGGGGGGGACGATGCCGCCATCGTGTGTTTGGGGGGACGGGGAGAAATATATATTTCTGGTAACAGAACACCCACGTCCAAGCGGTGTGTCTGCTTGAGCATATCGTTAGATGGGAGGCAGACAAAGTACTGCAGAACCGGTTCCATCGTAAACCGATCATGATGGCCCACATTACCGGGCGAAGACATCGTCGGGGTTGCCACAAATACGCCCCGTGGACGCGAAAAGGCGACGTGTTGGATCGCTCTGGTGTTTCCTAGGGACAGAAACAGCGAGTGGCGAGTTCTTGTACTTGCCGAACTATGTCAGCGTGGCAAGGGGTTCTTTCGCTCGAGAAGTCACCTCGCATTCCCTTTCAGATGTTGCATATTCCCTGTTCTCCGGAGGTCCTTCTCTCGCAGATGGTTCTACGGCGAGGCTTAACCCTTTTTTGCGCTTCTTCAGGCCTCTCCTCGGAGAGCATGTGCACCGACTGCTGGCCCGGGTACTACTCGGGAAGCGTGGGAGCGAGCAGCTACGAGACCTGCATCGAGTGCCCTTCGAACCATTCGCAGCCGATAGCCGGGGCGTCGTCGCTCTTAGACTGCATTCCCTGCGATGACAACCAGGTGAGACCGTGCTCGTGAAGATCTTCCCTTACCGTGGCTACGCTGGCTGAGACTGTGCGTTGGTGTCACCATGAAAACTCCTGGAAGCTATGTGCGTGCGTAGCCCTACAAGGTGAGGTGAGAGAGGGACGGCAAGCGAGCGCTGGAACAAGCAGGGTTTGTTTACTACGCATTTTCTGTTTGGCAGCTTGGCGGAGTCGATCTCGTGCTGCTTGCTGCGTTGCAGTGACGAAGTGGTGCTTCGTGGTCTCCCCCCGATACGTCTTCTCAGGTGTGACCGCACTTTTTTTCATCCAGTCGACCAACCTATCCGAGCAGGGAATCGCTCACTCTCGAGGAAAGGTGGGGGCGAGGAAACCGCCTCTTCGCTGGCCCGTGCGGCGGACTTCTCACACCCGTGTTGTCTTCTCCCCACCTTGGTGTTCCTCGTGAACGCTTGACCGCTCCCCTTGGCAACCCAAAAAGGTGGCCAACGAAGGATCAGCTGAGTGCACGGATGAGTTTTCCGAGGACGGCACGCTTATCGGGCTGTACCTCCTGATCGCAGGGATAATCTTGGTGGTGTTCACCCTCGTGGGGGTGTTCTTGCAGAAGCACTGCGGGGATGCGGTGAGTCGAGACGACAACATCGAGGTATTCAGCGCTCCCTAACGCTGTATGTATACCTGTATCTGTATGTGTAGCCGCTGCACCAGGAGACGCGTGTAAGCACGCACACGTTTGTATCATTATTACGGTAGTTGTGTGGCTTACATCGTGTGCCGAATCTTTTTTTTTTTTCTCGAGATGTTCACGTATCGCAACGATGTGGCGCAGTCGTGTCTGCAACCGTGCCACGGTGATTCTTGCTCTAGGCCCCAGTCCCTTCCTGATCCTGCGCTCAACTACGCACAAAAAAGAAATAAACTGTTGTACACACGAAAGCGTCTTTACAGAAACTAGTGTCTCTCCTCCGAACCAGTACGGGTTTTGGCAGAATGGCGTCGTCATCAATCTACCAGTTGAGTGCATCCCGATCAACTTCACAGCCGCTTTCGTCACCCGGTTTGCTTGCGCATGAAGCTCTCAGTTCTTCACAGAGGGTCAAGCTCAGGTGGCTCTTTTGTGTCTCAGTATTCGCCCCATCTCGCGGTTAAACAGAAAGAGTTGCTTCCACCGCCTCCTACCCATCACTAACAGAGCACGGCCGCGATCGACATCTTGTACGAATGCAACAGATACCGGTAAAGGAGAAGGTGCACATGAAGCTGAACGAGGAGATGAAAAGCTTCATATATGGGCAACAGTTCTGGATAAGGTCAGTCGAGATTCTAGTTTAAAAAAAGATGCTAGTTTAAAAAGCAGGAGAGCTGGAACCCAATTCCGTCAACCCAAACGTTTATTGATTCATGGAGGGAGGAAGCAATGGCATTCGCTCCATGTTATCGCAAGGTTCCAACAACGCCGTCGCGTACACTTGTCCCTAGCCCGGTTTACGGCGAGATTACATACAGTTCCGAGACCAAAGGAGTCACAGTGTCTTTAGTGGGGTGAGGAGAGACCAAGACGCCCAAACCTTGAGTGACCCTCACCATACCCCCACTTTGCACCATTAAATACCCATTGGTTCGTCTAGACCTGTAGGAGTATCCGTCAACGGTAGCACTTCGTCGGAATAACTTCTGAAAAGCATGCCGTGACAGTCGCTTTAGGGTTGGCATGGACCTCATGACGAAATCCACGTATCCCGAACCAAGCCAAAAGTTGTTGATCAACTTGCCTACCAAACTGTTGATTCGCATCAGCAACAGCAGCTGCAGCTGCAGCCGTACTAACTTGGGAATGCCGCGTGCATCTGCGCCAAACTCATCACCACCTTGACAGTCTCTTCAGCGGCGTGGAGATCATGGACCTCATGTCGGACCTCGGAGCGTACGCATCGCTGCTCTACACAGCCGCGCTCACCGGCGCTATGAAAGTGGTCTACACCATCGTCGTGGCCTTTGCGCTGGTGGCCTCGCTCCACGGAGTTCACACCCGGGCCATGATCATCCTCGACATGCAGGAGGTACGCAGAACCATGCATTTGACGCTACGCTACTTGTTCGTAGAGAGAGGTGGTAGGCCTTCTGTTTAACGAGGCAGTTGGCAAACTTGTGGCTAAATAGGCGGAGAGCTTCAGACCAGGATGAGCCTAAAGATAGATAGACCGTTCAAAAACCGCCCAAAGATCCATCTCACCCCTCCCAACACCATCATCCTAAGCTTGACCAAGCCCTCCCCCTTAAGGTCCCGTCTCTCCCCCCCCCACCTCTTGTGCATGACCGGCGACTTAAAACCAGGAGCGAATGCACGGGCTAGCGATCACCGGAAACAACATGCTGTACTACGAGAAGCAATTCACAATATTGCAGATCATGAGTCAGAAACGGACTTGCCGTATCCACGTGCCGTTCGACCGTGGCAACAAGGTGGGGGTGATGCTACGTAGGAGTTTAGCATCAGCGATCGTTTTGTAAGCACGCCCAAGACTTCAAGCAGGCGTTGACTATTGGTCTAGCGTCTACATGGCGTATTTAATGAGCAATCCTAGACCAGCGAAGGGGCTCAGAAGGTGCGCACCTACCGGTGAAGAAATGCTCCAGCAACGCGTTTTTTGGTCCACTTCAGGCCTTGACGTAGTTTCGTCGACGTCGTTGTACCCGACGTTGTACTTCGTTTTACCAGTTGGGAATACCGTCAAGCTTCTTCGTGATCGTTTGACAAGGCGAAACCAACCATGCATGTTTTCGATGAAAATGGCGCGTATGAAGCACACAAGGCACAGAAATGCTGACCAACGCTCCTCCATTGATTGTCACGGTCTGTTGCCGCTGTCTCTAGTTAAAGCGTTCAGGTTCTGCCGGGGTTTGCTGATGTAACGTTGGTCCTTACGTTCTCTTTAATGTACTGTCGCGCTTTGTCGGGCCAATGCTGCCGTGCCACTGTCGGATTGTACGCGAACACCACCACCGTGTTCATGAACCCTGCATGCAGTACTTGAGCCATCACATCGGCGTCCAGCGCCTGATAAGTCTAAACTCCATGAGGATCATCATCGCCATTTTCGAGGACGTGCCCTTCCTGGGTCTCAACATGTACCTCCTCGTGACGCAGCCCGACCTCGCCAGCAATCTCGTCTTCATGGTGCGTTCCCTATTGACACCGCCTTGGTTCATTTTCTCGCGCATCGGTGTCACCTCTAACGGCGAAGGGGACGGGGGAGGTTAGGTTGGAGTAGTCTCTGTTTCATTTGTTTATTTGTGAGTACAGATGAACGTACGGTGATCGGTTGGTGGCGACCTGGGGCAAAGAAAAAAGCTGTATTTGTTTGCAGTGGCGATGTTCGTTCAACGTCTTCAGGGGCAGGGGCAGAAGATTGAGTGGCTCGGACCGCTTCAATCATTTTAGTTTTTTGGATCGACCTTGAAGAAACTGTCTTGACCTCTGAGAAAGCTCAATCGATCCTATCAGTATTTTTCATTCCACCACGGTGGTATGATTGGTAGTCGTGACATGACAACCATCTACTGCTCTTGAACATAGACAACGTCCCGTCTTGCGCTTCAATTCCGCACAACGTGCATGGTGTACCTTTAAATCAACGTGTATATTGATGTCCGCAAAGTGTTCGCGTGTGTATCCAGTTTTGGACAGTGCGAGCAACCGTGCGTGATAGTTTCTACAGGCGCTCAGTGGGTGCCTGGGTACTCACTTGCAACATGATACGCTGCCATGAATCTTTACACCCGGCGTCCGTCAGATGAGCTTCGTGATGTCGATATTTGTCCTGGGGTATAAGATGACACTCCTGGAGAAGCACGCGAGGCTCCAGATTCGGAAGTGGAACCTGGAGGCCAGGATGGACACGGACACAATGCTCAACAAGAAGGCAGCCAGGGGGAGGCGCTTCTCCTGGGCGTGTCAGCAGTGTGAGGTGAGGTTCATCAATGTGGTGGTGACGAGAGCGGTGTCCCTGCTGACCGAGCTGTTGGTCCAAGGCACCGCGGCACGGCATGGTACTCGCAAGAATTGTCGAAGAACTACTACTACCATACGTATTTCACATGCCATCGTCAAACGCTACCTATTATTCCAGCCGGTGCGCTAGATACCGTTGGTATTATGCTGGCATTGTCGTTTAGATACAACGACCAGATAAATTGAGGTCGGTACAACGCAAAACACGAACCACCAGACAAAGCGTGCACCGCAAAGTATACGAAAATACGTGAGACTTCATCGCATCCCACTGTGGTTGGTTGAATCGTGTGTGCCGCTGTGTTGGAGAGGAATTCCGGTCTGTCTACTTGTCTAATACAGTGGACCTTAAAATTCGTCTTGAACTGCCTCGAACAGTTTACCCCAAATTACTCTTGAACCCTATTTCCAAGAAAGCTGCTGGGCTCTGTTGATATATTCTCCGCCTCCCCCGGCTGGTGTTTCCACTCCAAAAGGTCAAAGGATGTACGGTCAAACTATAGAAGAGAACAAAGGTGTCGTTATCTTCTTCCCTGGTCACCACTTTCTCCTCTGCCCGCAGGATACACAGCGCGCCCCCCCACTCTCCGATGCCCGCATACCCCCCCCCCCCCCTCACGTGGTCAATGGCCTATAAGAAAGGAATCCAAAACATGAGTATGTCCCCCCCCCCTCCCTCCTCTATTCTGTCGCAGGACGAACACATATCCCCTGAAGCCCAGAAAGAAGCGACCCAAAAGGCCAATGCGTTGAGTGCTGTCAGGGTGGCCAGCACCCGAAGCCCTGGTAGGTCGGTAACTTCAGGGGACATTGGTCGGGGCAAATCACCACCCTGGAGCAAGAGGGGCTCCGCCGAATCAAGGGGCAGCAACACGCTCTCAATGAGCAATACCAACGCCGGCGACAGCAACGGTCACAAAGCTGCAGAAAATGAGAGCACAGCGACGAACAATGGCCGGACGGCGGCGGCGGTGACAACAGTAACAACGAGAAAATCACCAACCGGTGACGATGGTGGTCAGCACCACCAACCGGAAGAACATGCGGCCGAGGGCGATGCCACTGCCGGTGATAATAGCCGCAGTCGCCCCAGTAGCGCCACGTGGAGAATATTCAGAGGCAGCAAAGGTAACGGTGGGGACAAGAGCACCAGAGAAGAAGGCGGCGGCAACAACAATAGACGGAGACGCGCCCGCAGAAACAAAAAAATATTGCCGTCCGAGGGTGGTTCCGACCCAGGCGCAAACGGTGGAGGAGAAGCGATGACGGATCCCCTGGTGCTCCCTACTCAGCAGTTGTCGACACACTTGGACGAAGAGGGACTATGAGGGGCCGCTGGTGGTGGAAGCCTAACCAACAAGTGTGGTATCTAACGGGGAAGTTCCAATTGTCGTCGTCGTCGGTCAAGGGCGTTTCGCGCCGCCGGAGAGAGCTACCAATGCACTGTATAGTGGCAGCAAACCGGGTGTTTGGTGTGATTCGGAAGTAACCGTTACGTAGGGCGCAATTGGGATGTTCCTGGAGGGTATTGTATGTGGTGAGAGGCCTTTTATCAACACACAGGCACTTCGTCGTCGACTACGACCGATGTTCTTCCGGAACATCGTCCTTGGAAAAAGTTGTGGTTGTTGTGGAGCGGAAGGGGTGCTCCAACATTCAATTGTGAATTAGCGATAATCATGATGGAAGTCGTATGTGTTGCCGATTGTCTATCCCATCTGCAGCTGTATCCTCGTCCACAGGATGGCAAGAAGTACATGCGATCCAATCACGTCTTCTACGTTGCGGTGCTGTTATGACGGGTTGTGCCTCGACCACAACATGGAGAGTGATCAGATTGATCTCCCAAAACAGCCGCCGAGAGCAGTTTTAAACGCAGTTGCGGACATTGACCCCACATCCTCACCGGGATTCGTAAAAGAGGATGCCGACAGGGTACTTGATAAAATATGATACCACAGGGGGTTATGGTGATTGCACCCTTTTCCACGAAGCCGCCCCAACTGAGGCGTCCACCCCTGCGCGTTGGCCTGCCTCTTCTCCGACGCAACCTCCTCATCTTTTTATGGCACCCCCAAGTTTGACTGTAGTTTCCGAGGTTAAACAGGTTAAACAGACGAAAATCCACCGGTTCTCATCCTTCCCAGACCGCGATGATGGCGCATTTCCCGCTAAATTTACTCGCTCTCGTGGAGATACGCGACATTCCCAACATAACGTATTGGCGGTGTGTCGACAACTCTCCAAGAGAACCTTGCCTTCAAGCTACAGCGTGCAGCCTAGTGGCAGTCATGGACATGCCAGCGCTTACGCTCCTAGCGTGGCGGCCGATTGTGTTCGGTGGCCACAACGCAGCACACATATTTTCCCTCCTCGGTTCTCCAACACATGCAGCGAGAGCCGACAATAGATTTTACAACGTCCCAGGTATTAAGCTGGAAAACACAGGTGAAATCGAAACAATGCTATCGCGAAACCCATAAAAAAGAAAAACAAACAAACAGAAACACAGTCTCGCAGCTGTTACCACTAGGCGGCATTCCAAGATACTTCGTGTGCATATGCCACTTCGCGCTCAACACCTCCAACTTGACGTGTAGAACATGTAAACCATCTCTGAATAGATAGCCGTCTTGACCGAGGGCTGCCAATGTACTCGAAAGGGGGGGGTGCGGGGGGGACAACGCCAACTGGGTAGCTGGAGCCTCGTCGGCGTCGCTTGTCCGGAAAAGCAATCACTTCGCTCAAACGGAACAGATCAAGGCAACCGATAGGTATCACATGGCATTCCCACTAACTAACCATGCCTGACGTATTGCTATTCATCTCCGAAGGAACACTAACAATCTCTGAAAACATGCGCTTTTCCCTGCATCTCGCACCTTCCACATAGGAAAGTGCTTGTTCGCGAGTGTACCGGAGGTGTGGGACTACTGACCCCTCCTCGCGATAATAATGAAGGCATGCACTGCAGAGGAAAAGTGATGTTGGGCCGCGGGTCGGAGCTCTTCCGACAGAGGGGCAAGACCACCCGGAAAATAACTGTTTAAAAGGTTACAAATGTCATATATCCTAGAGGCGTTTATCTCGCCGCACCACACCGTATGACACCAAAAACGCGGAAGCACCGCCACAAGTCATGTATACTCGGTGGCAAGACCCCCCCGTCGAGAAAGAAAATTCCTCTCCATCTCCTTTGGGCCCCCCCCCCCCCCGCGATTCAACCGTGGTGCGTGAGTCTCAAGCACTGCTGCTGTGCGGCTTGGCGAATGCGCCCATGGTGTTCACGTACGGGTTTGGGATTCCCATGTCCAACGCGTCTCCATGAATGATGCAGCCCAGCATGCCGTCGTCTTGTTCCCTCATGCGGTCCAACACGGACGTCAGCTGAAACTCTCCCCTGTTGCAGGGTGTCATCGAGGGCAAGAGGACCACACGAAGTTCGTAGTAAAGTCACAGCCCGGTGGTTGAAAACCAAGACCTTAATAAGACTCTTCAGAAATTCTGATAACGTTGTTAGTGCAGGGCTGTACTGGTGCCAGGTGTGTTGTCATCGACTAAATATCCCGAAACTCGCAAGGAACACCTACAATAGGGTAGTGGCCTGCTGGTTGCCCCGAAGCAAGCAAGGGGGTTTATTCCAAACAGGTCCGCACTGTTTGCGTGGTTGCGCGTGTGGTCGTCGTGCGGCGGAGAAAAAAACAAAGAATTGTATACGGATACATGCAGTCAAGAGGAGCGTCCAATTCGCAATGATTGCGAGATGGAAACAAAACACAGAACTAAGGTGTGGAGTAGGCAACCTGGGATGCGTTGCAAGGAACAGCTTTGCTAGCGAAAATAAGCAACGAAACCGGCGTGCAAGAGCAAAATACTTTGGTGGCCGACTATCAACAGTAGTCTTGGTTTCCCGTCGACCTTACTTGCGGTCCACCATTGTCACAAGAGACGAAGAAGTGGCTTCCAGTCCGACAGAGACTCGTGTACTCAAGGCATACGCAACAAAAAGCGGCAGCACGTGAGACGCAAAACAGTGGAAACACCAACACCGCGGGGGAAAACTGTGGTGGTCATTGCACCCCCACTTCCCTGCCGTAAAACACCGAGTCTAGATACGTCCGTGAACCTCATCCTATTATTGGCACGATATTCGCTTCTCCATCAAGGCGCACTCCCTGCCACGCTTTGTAGCGCACCATATTGAACGGAGACATTACGATTCAATAGACCCTGTAAAACCGCGAGACAGGTGTAAGCATCGACCACGGTTTTGCTTACCTTTCCCGGCGGTCTAGCCTAATATCCTCCGCCAAGATGTTGAACGTGCGCCGGGCTGGCAAGATGTACTGGTGTAATGGGGGGAGGGGGAGGGGGGTTCGGAGTTGGTGTGTCGGAAACGCGAAATAATCGAGGTGGAAAGGCCTACAGCTGAAAAAACTCGCGCGACGCCGCCACTCCAATGATGAATCGAGCGCGTTCGGTGTCACCTGTCCGAACACAACCAGGTGTCTCCCCTCGCCGCCTTGACCGCCTGCAGGCCCGAGGCCCGGCGTGACGAGGTTTTCGCGCGCAAATTCCGCCGTTGGCTTCTCGGCGAACTTCGTAAGACGGTACACGCGCCCGGCAAGCGGAAGCGGCGGTCTTTGGGCTTCAGTGTCTGCTGCTGCTGCTGCTGCTGCTGCCGATGGTGATGTCGTCGGAGCGCCGTTTCCGCCTGCCCCGCCCGCCAGCCTTGTTGGTGCGGCCGCGGCCCGGTGCCAGCGCTCCACGATGTGCTGGGGAGGGTGCCCGACGCAGTGTCCCGCCGCCACGCCGTACGGAGACACCGAGCTCTCTCCCATGACCTGCACGCGTATGAATTCCAAACGACGACGTCGCGACGGCGGGCGCCGCAAAAGTGTCAGACGGAGGGAGCAACGCTTGAGCTATGCAAGAAGAGGTGGTGCTACTGCTGAAGGGAGGAGAATGAAGGCAACATTAACAGAGCTATCCTTGAGGATAGCTTCTTCGCGTCCTTTTCGACCTCGCAAAGGTGACTTTTTTTTGTTACATGCGTGTCTTGTTTCTTACTCAGGTCCGAGTCTCAGCGACAGGCTCTCCCCTCCTGTTGGGCATAGCTGCGTCACCTCGATCTTTTCGCTATGCTGGAATACGTCATTTCGAGAACAGTCGTTTCTAGGGTGGGTTATTTAGGTTCTTTCATTCTCGTCTGTGTACCCCCTCGGTAGGGTTCGTCTGTGACCACAAATATGTGTCTATTTGCTGAAGGGCACGGAGTAGGAGGCAACAACAAAAATATCAGAACGGCTGTAGAACGTGACAACGGCAACGACAATAAATCTTGTCCAGCTTCTACGAGCGAAGCTCTGGCGACCCTCACTCCTTGGCGCGTCAAAAAACACGTCGACGTCGTAAACTACGGAAACCAGCTAACCGCTCACTCACCTTGAGCCCGATCGCCGGCTTCCCCGCCTCCCCGTGCTCCAGGAAGGCGTGCACGAGCTGGCTGGCGCAGGCCTCCGTCGTGCCCGCCCCTCTCCGGTACAGGTGGTCGCCCAAAACCAGCAGGAATGACGAATCCGGGTCTTCCCCGCTGCTGCTGTTGCTGCTGCTGCTGCCGCCGGTGAGGCGTCCGTTTTCGAGGGCGGCCTCTGCCGCGCCCGAGCCGGCGTGTTCGGTCCCGAGGACGGCGTGGCGCGCACAGAATACGGCGTGTCCGAAGCCCTATTCCGAAGGGGTGTTTTTGATGAGTGGCGGTAGTCGTGGTCGGAGGGATGCAGTTAAAGGGGTCACGAGCGTGTGTCCTCTGGGCTTGTAGTACCCCAAATCTTCGGTACAACCGTTGTCGTTCTTCCCCGAAAATGCCCCTACCTCCCCTCCCCTGCGAGGTCAATGGTCTAAACGCCTGCGGCATGCAAGGCTATGAGTACACCCCTCCCTCCCCCCCGACATGAATACTAGCACACAAGATCTTTCCGCTTGTCCCGCACTTTGTATTTGGCGGGGCGATGGGGCCGCACGGACCAGCGGGAGCACAACGAAGGTCGGCAAACACGCGTCTCGGTGCCAAAGACTTTGGATGAATGCGGTTTTTGTCCTACCGTGTCGAGACAGTAGACACACCCAAGCTATCGCGGCAGATTCATCGCACGCACCTCCTGCTGCTCCTGGACGGAGTACGTTATCCTCGGGCGGAGCGCCTCTATCCTGGCGCAGTAGGCTCGTTGCGGGGGCTTCAACCTGACCAGTAGAAGACACCGGGATAGGTCGTGCAGCGCACACGCGTTGTCTAATGGGATTGGATAGGAAGTCGGGAGGGTTGCACTACCAAGCAGGACTTCGTTTCCGAACAGCCCGAACGAGACTAACTCGGTGTAGGAAGATGGAGTTTTTTTCCGCTTGGAGAAGAATCAGCACACATACAAACACAGCAGTTTCGCAAGCCGCCGATCAGAGAAAGCCCGCGAACCACAACTCACCTGTGCTTGTGCTTCTCCACGGCCTTCATCGAGAAGAAGTCGTCGAACACCGCTATGTCCTTCTCCTGCACAACCACGACAAACCTCTCGATGCCTGACTCCACAAGCCCCTCCATGATGGCCAGGATCACCGGCTTGCAGACTCCGTCATGGTCGACGATCGGAAAGAGCTCTTTTTTAACCACCGCGGACGCCGGGAACATGCGCGTGCTGAGTCCCGCCGCCACGATAACCGCCGACGTGACCCTGCGAGGGTGCAGCATGCGCGGCGGTGCTAGGCTCGAAGTTTGTAGCGGTGGCGGCGGCGGCGGCGTGGTGGTTGGATGGCCCACCCCGGTTGCAGTCTCGCTCCCGTCTCCGCTTGGCGACGTCGGTCGTATCACCGTCACGGGCAGGACGCCGGTCATCCCTGCGTGTGAGTCGCGCATGGGTAGTCGTGTGTCCTTGTTGTTCGTCGCGGAAAATTGCATATGTTCGCCGGCCGGCAACGCGCCGCCGCCGCCGCCAACCATGGCTCCAAGCCTTTCATTTCTGCTCGCCCGTTCCCCGCCATAATTCTATCAGCCAACCATTTCTATAACTCAGAAGTTTCTATGGAATCATTGCTGGGTACCGTCGGAGTGATTCTTGCCGGCAAGGTGGGAGCTCTCCTTAATCTCCTCACCCATTTCCCGGAGCACTAGCGTAAGCTCCTCCTGCTCCCGCCGCCCTCTTGCCAGCATCTGAACACTCCCGTCCCCCTGGGCACCGACGCCTTTGATCCCCCACGTCAGCGACTTGACTCTGAATCAACGTACAAAGAAAAGGAGGATCTTGAGGGCGCTACGGCAATTCGCAAAGGCAGTTTTGATTAGCTGGGGGGCGGAGGGTCGGATTCCGAGGGTAAGGTGCGCGTCGAGGACGCACGCGGGGCCAACGCTGAAATAAGTGACGAGGCTGACAGGCTTCCAGTGTGAGGCTTTAGGGCGGAGGTCGCCGGTAAGGTTTGAGATCAGGGATAAGGGTTTCGGTAGGGGCGCCGGCGCGATGGGCGCTAGCAAGCGGCATTAGACCTAGAGGCCGAGCGAACGACAGCGCAACCGTCATTGCCGTGACATTTGTAACCGAAAGCGTGCCAGTACGTCTGGGCAAAGAGGTCCCAACAGGGCTGGTTCGGCGGCACTTTGCCGCTCGTTCCTTGGTGCACACCGTGTGCTCGTCAGACAACGTGTGCTTGTCGGAGAACCCTGCAGCGAACGCAGTGTGGCACCGCGCAGATACGACGAAGCAGCGGCGGGCTTACCTCTGGTCTGACATGACCCTGTGCAGCAAAGGGCTGGAGAACTCGGAAGGGCAGATAGGTATCGCGGCCTCGTCGAAGCTCGACTGTTCTCGAGAACGCCGGCGCGGTTTTGATTGTTTCACGAAGAAACAAAGCGGGCAAGGGCACATGGGGGAAAAGGTTGACCCTTGATGAGAGGTGAATAACGGGGAAATCTGTGGGTGTTGGTACTAGAGAAAAACAAAATACAACACCTGCCACTAGGGTCGAGACTTGAAAAAAACATTTCTCCTTCCATGAAATGAGCAGTTCACAGCAATAGCCCCCTGTATGTATTTCACCATCTCACATCTCACCTGCGCCGCTGTCATGGCTCTGCCAAGCTCCTGAGCATCCCCTTGCTCTATCGCGGATACCGCCCTCCAGGCCAGCTGGGCGTTGTCCCTGATATAACGATGCACTCTATCCTCGGCGTCGTCCTAGAAACAAACGTACCCCCAAGGCCAAAAGACGCGTGCGCGAGGGGTGAAGTGATGACGAGAGATACCAGCATTACCAGAACGTGCGCGTGGGCAGCACCCCAGCGGGCCATCTCACGCAGGGTGAGTGAGCGCGCGCCTGCTGCGCTCTCTAGACTTGGCGCTAAGACAAAGCCCAGCACGTTTTACACCTATGCAACTTATGACGCCAACGGGGTGGGCGCTTCGAAAATGAAGGATCGAGTGCTCTGGGCGACCGAAGGGACGTCTTCAGCCTACCGTTCATTCAAAGCTGAGGAGACAAAGCTGCAGGGTGAACGAATCCTACTGTCGGAAGCAGGGCGTTGCTTGCCCGCACTTGTACCCGCCCCCTCTGTTCACCTTCGAGCGGGGGAAGCACTGGTTGAGGGACGCCAGTATCTTGATGGTGTCCTTGGAGCCATTGAGGTCGGCCACCACTAAAAATATCCCGCTCTCCGGCGGAGCCACCTGCTTTGTCGAGAGGGAGGCGGGAAAAACTTGGGGGACCATCGTGCACGACAATTGCCGTGCTTGCGTCGAGAGGAAGGGAGCGGTAGCCTGCCCCAGGGGAAATCTGAACTTGAACAGCAATGTGTGAAAAAAACACGATTGTTTTCACAAACAGATTCAAGAAGGCCGTGTCGCCCGCGGGTGCGCAAGATGCCCGAATCACCTTTCGTGCATGCAGCGATCGCGAAAACCCGCACCGCGAGATGACGCGCGATGCCAAGAAAACATAGGGCCCGATGACATGTAACTTCTTGCGTGTGTTGTGGTCACACCTTACATGTCGCCAGCGTAGAGACGGCGGCCTCGCCCACGTGTCGTTCGCGGCGATGGACCAGCTCAGAAGCTGTCCCACGCCGCCATACCCGCGGACGGTATCATTTGTCTAAACAGAACATTAGTCTTACCAATCGCCTCGCAGCTCGGCTGCACAATGGAGGTGAGGAACGATTCCCAGGATCAGGTTCTGTATGCTACGAAAACCTTCGAGGAGGAAATACTTTTTGTTCATGGCCATCCGGGAAAAACTGAGTAGTGCTTGCCAAAACAACGAGCCCAGCCCTCCTTCTTTGCGGGAAAATAACAAAATGCAATCAGACCGCACGCAAGCAAGCAAGCAAGCAAGCAAGCAAGCAAGCAAGCAAGCAAGCAAGGCCTGACCTCGTAGATGCGCACGTCTTCCCCGTCGAAGAACATGGCCGCCACGTGGTTAGTGCCAAGTGCGCAGCACTGGTCCATACGCCCGCACTTGCTGCCCGCGCGGGCCTCGCCCAGGTGCGCGAGCTCCATCACCTGCGGTGGTATCCGCATACACCGTTGTTGGCGAAGCAACCACTTGAGAAAATTAATATTCCAAAGTAAGCTCCACTTTTTGAAAATGTGATTTGCGCGTGGAAAATACTCGGAGGCGACAAGAGCCAGAGGACGTGCTTTGTAACCGTCAAGAATTGAAGGAGGGGGGGTGGACTGCCAACAACAGTAGAATATGTCGCTGGGTGAAGGCAGAATTTGCCTCGGCCGATTCAAATCACCAATGTATGAAAAATAACGGTACATAGAGAGACAATTCTTCTGTGTAACCCGGGAATACAGGCCTTCATACGGTCATCAATACCTGTCCAAGGGCAACTCGACAGCACGCTACATCGGTACCCCCCCAAGAACGCACTACTGCGGGACCCCTATTGGTAAGTGGGAAACTTACCTGGGGAACGGTCAGCTCTAGACCGTACGCGAGGCACAGCGCACGCACGACCAGAACGCACACGGCCGCGCTGCTGCTGAGCCCTTTCTTGAGCGGCAGGGTGGTCATGTAGTTGTCGATCGTCACGCCACCAGCGTTGGGATCTCCGCCCTTTCCAGAAGAGGGATGGGGAGGGGGCTACGGTGAGGCACGAACCAGTTTTCGTCATTTTGCTACAGCCAGTTTGGACTATTCCCCCCCCGTGCTTGGCGGAGAGAGAGAGCGATATAACGCCAGAGAGAGTTTAAAAGCGGGTGGTGGTGGGGACCTTGGCGACGGGATGACTCGAAGCTCCGTTCTCAAGGCGGGGTGCACACTCCCCCGCAAGCGTTCTTCCAGAACGCCTCTTTCTTCGGACATCTTCCTTTTCTCCCGCACATACTCTCAAAAACCGACGGTGGCGAGGAACGAGAACGGGTGTGTGTGTATTTGGAGCAGTCGGTCGTTACGAAAATCGTTGCGCACCCTTAAAAAGCCGACACAGAGCACGACCACTCCCCTCTGCAATCATTTACTTCTCATGCCACGGCCGGAGAAGAACAAAAAACATGGCGCGAACACTCCAAGGGGGGGGGGGGGGGGGGGGCGAGGGTATGTATTCCAACCAACGCCGTTGATACAGAGAGGACGCGCGGCGTTCCTCCTCTTCCCCACAACTTCGCAGACCCCGCCTATACATACTCACAGCGGCTGACGAGAGCGGCGGGGAGAAGAGGCCGAACCTGGAGCAAACGACGAGCGCCGTTCCCGCGACGTACATAAAAAATCCCTTGGCCTCGATCACGCCCTTCAGAGTCTGCTCGTCACACAAGTACGTGTTACGGCCGGGGAATATACATATTCATTGATGGGTGGGTAGGTGGGCGGGTTTCTGCATGTGTGGTTTTTAGTTGGCGGGTTGGTTGACTGCGTTTACGTGATGCGCAAGACGCCGACGCAAAATTTGCTACCGTTGCTACCGGCAGCGCAGTTCTGCACGTTTCGGCTGTATGTGGCTCAACAAGAAAGAAAAAGCGTCGTGGGCTTGGAAGACACAAAAATAAAAGGTTTCGGGGTTGTTGGGGGGGGGTCGAATATCATCTCATACACCGTCGCGCCCTACGCTCGACGGAATCTACGGAAGTGCCGCAACACAGGCAAGCTGATGCTGGTTGTGCGTGTATATGTCAGAGTCGCCCTAGGTTTCGAATTTTTTTAGCACATGACATCATGTAGCAAATCGCAGGCGCATTTCCTATGCAGAGTAAGGCGAGGCCTCGAAACTTGCACGAATGTACGGAGGGCACGATCAAACATTCACGACACATGTACGTAAGCTGTTACCTCCTCCGTCAAGGCTACATCCAAGGTCGAGACTCCATCAACAGCACCCCCAGATGCAGCAGCAGCGGCGGTTTGCCCTCCGCCAGTAATGCCGTCGCCGCCGCCCTCGCCCGCCGTACATGCGTCTGGGCACGCGGCCTTGAATGTTAGCCTCCCGTCCGCCCTGGCTTGGACCCTAGCGTGCAGGCCCTCCCTTGTCGTGGCCACGACAGTGAAACCAGGAAGAACGGCGCGATTTCGGTCGCGGTAGCCCGCCGCCCAGTCGGTGTGCTCGCCTAATACGCACAACTTTGTTCGTTTGTTCGGGGGGGGGGGGGGTTCGACGAATTTCGTTCGTACAGCGTCAGTTGGACCAGTAATATTTTTATTTTGTATTTTTCTTGTCTTCACTTCAAATCAGCGCTCACAGCACTATTAGTGCAATTTTATTCCAACCCGTGGTCACACAGAAGAACCCCTCGACCCCCTCCCCTCCTGCGGTACTTTGCCTTCGATTTTTAATGCGAGAAGAGTTCAGCACTCTCTTCCCTCTGTGTACACACCAACTAGCGCTATCCACTAGGCCAGGAGCGGAAGCGAGAGAAAAACTCACTTTGCAAGAAAAGCTCGCTTACGCCGGGATTCGAGCCCCTGACCTGACCTCTAGAAGGTTTGGAGGATGCCAACTAGACCACCGGGGCGACCGGCCTATGGATGGTATTAGAAATCTTCTTATCAGAGATCGGAACGGTTGTTAGACGTGAAGACAGTAAACATCAGCAACGACAACGCGCGCCTCAGAAAGCTGTCAGGCAGAGCAGGTTCTCCACTTGCGGGCAGGACGACCGGAGAAACTGCTCTGTTCGGCCTCGAGGCTCTACAACGCTACGGTGATGGGCGAGATATGCTGCAGAAAAAGGTTGGGTAGGTGTTGACCCAACCAAACCCGACCCTAACCCTAACCCTAACCTTAACAACCCCAACCCACACCCTGAACAACGTGGGAAAGAGAACAATAGGCTGCAATAAAAGAAAAAGGCTACCAGTAGTAGTTTTCGGTCTTTACCTGGTATATTTGGGTTGCCAAAAGGGCGTGTGAAGACTACTACTGTGACGGCCGCACGTGCCTGTCAGAGCATGTGCATTCGTGCTAGGAGAGGCTAGCCATGATGCGTATTGCCAGGTGGCCGAAGAAGCAGACCTCCAGAGGAGGGTCGCGAGGCGTACGTAAGACAAAATGATGTGCTGCTACATACTTCAGTGTACACGAGCGGCATTCGCCGGGCTGCAGACTCTTTACTTCACCTCCTAAAATACGTAGGGTAGGTGTCACGGATCGGCATGACGACACTATGGTGCCGGGATGGTGTGTGCTGGCGAACCTCTCATGTTGTCGAGATGTCGAGCTTCAAAAACGAACAAACCGCGAGGCGTACATTACCTACAGCAGTGTGTCTCTCTGGGCAACCGTTGGTGACGTAATATTTATCATACCCCATGTTCGAAGCTCAATTACTCCGCAGCACAGAGAGTGGCGGTGCCCACAATGCCGGCGTTGGAATCGTCTCGTCGAGAGCTTTCCGTTACCGTGTCGTTTGATTCGTAGATTGTTTGATTTGTATGCGTACAACCTCTTCATCGTGGAGCAAGTGACCTTTGGAAAATCGTGCCAGGAGGTGGTATCTTACGTCACCTACGGCAGCAGGCAATCGAGCCTTCAGCAGGTGTGCTCACGTGCTCACGTACATACGCACTACACCGTAGACAACAAGCATATAGCACCCACCCGGCCGGGAACGAAGATCTCGTGCACACCATCGTCGTGAACCTTTCGACTGCTGTCCATACCAACCCGGCTGCTACCCTCCTCGTCGTTTCAGGCTGTCGGTGGGCCGGGAGTCGTGAGAGGGAGAGAGAGCGCCCAAACCCAGCAGTCTGTTGGGTAGTAAAGGGCCCTCCCCAAACCAATGGTAATCGTGACAGTCCCGTGCTACCGACGGAAAAACACCACACATCGCCGGAAACGCTCGCTGACAAAAGACGAAAACACGCTACTACTGCTTTTGTCGTGCGCATATAAACCGTAATATAATAAGACATCAACGCGAACACGCTATCTCTATGTAGTAGGTAGCATCGACCGTGCTACCCGGATGGGCGGTGAAAGGATGTCAGTCTGGTGTGTGTTAAGTGTTGGATCTGCTTTAGCAGTACAACACTGAAAACACGTTTGTTTGAAAATTGAGGGAGTTTGCATGCTCTGCGACTAAAAGGGTGCCACACACAAAACGCCAGACTACCCAACAGTGACGTATTTGCGCAGAACAAAATTTGGCCCGTAACGACCAGTTCGGGGTATCTAAAGTTCCTCCGACGCGACTTCTGCCTAAATATGTCTTGAGATTTCGCTATTTAGAGAAATTTGCAAGCCAAATTTGCCGCCCGAACGACCACGCGCGCTGGTTGGTCCACGTCAGTTTGGGCCGCTTGCTGCGCCGTTGTGGCACGAGACGGCACGAGACGGCAGCGGGCTACGAGACGCGCAGCCAGTGCCCGCCCCATGCCCCTATACACAAGTCATGGATAGAACCAGGAGGCCGATCCGGGATGTCAACCTTAAGCGCCGCTACGGCGCCATGAGCCCCGGAGAACTGATGCATGAGCAGCTTTGCCTCTTGTGCGCAGCTGTCCTGCTGTTGGTTGGCACAGCGAGGAAGAAGATGAGCACGAAACGGAAGAGCTCGAGTTGTGCGCTGCGCTCATAGCGCTGCAGGTGGAGACAGTACGGGTAGATCGCACGGTCATCAGGACAGTGAGGGGGAGGGATTTGTGCATCGCCGACATCTCGGAGGACTGGGCGTGGTGTGACTATCGCTTCATTTTCAAATGTAGGTGCACATGTATGTGCACATCTTTCCTGGCCCCTTCGAACTCCACGGCTGCATGTATGTATGTATGTGCGCGGCGAGATTACACGGCCAAATGCGGATCATCTGTCTTCGTCTTCCGGGTTTTTTTTTTGCGCACGGTGGAAAGACTTTATTTTTAACAGAAATTACATGGCATCAGTATGGCAAATTGCGCTGTATGCGCAAACACGTCAGTATACCTAACACATTTCTTCTGCACCTTCCCAACATAACATATACGAGACACACAAGACAGCTACCAAACTGTCTTGTTGAGCCTGTTACCCACAGGGGATGAGATGTCCCTATATGTCTGGGAAATCGTAGACATACAGGTATACTTTCTGACGCTATGAATTCTCATTGCTAATAATCTGTCTCAGATAACTCAGTCAAGCTAGGGTGGCGAGGAGAGTGGGCGAGCCTTCGTGGACCCTTTTCCCATTCTCCTAAAGATTCATCAACTCTTCGCAGCCGTTGGGAATCGTAAGAGTCATAGACCCTCGAAGAATGGTAATCTATTATCACATATCCTCTCAGATCCTACTCTTGATGTACGTGTATCTGTGCTCCCTGAATCTCCATATCCTGACCTCCACACAGACTTTTTTTTTTTGTATGTATGATAGGATTCGTTGTGCATTTTTAAGAAGAAAAAAAAAGAACGACTCTAGATTTGCTGCATGGGTTACAGTAGTAGTACAGACAATTGTGTAACGGCAAGGGTGCAACGGTGAGGTGAGAGTATGCGCCGTTTGACGGAGATCCGGCGCATTTCCATGGTTGGAAGTCTCTCTTCCTCTCCCTGATGCACGAAGCTGGCTTGGGAAAGGTCGTCGTGTCTGGAGCGGAGACTGATGCAGCAGCTGCTCTTGACACCATCACTGCTTGCGCGCACGAATTCGCCGCACACCAGAGTCTGGTCGAGGAAATCGACATTGGCGACGTCCGATCATTGTGCCGACAGCTACGCCAGCGTGGAATCCCAGGTGTACAGCAGTAGTAGTGCAAACGTATGCCCCGATCGGGATCAAGGAATTCGGCGACGGGCGCAGCGCTATCGTTGCACTGGAAGCGGAGCTCCGTGTCGATGATGTCTACCGCACGCATGCAAGAAGAATGAGTTGTACGACAAGTTCGGGTCTCTCGAGGTGTCCGCTGCCGACAACTTTGATCCCGCACGCGTGATTCACGAGTTACGCCGCATCTGCATCGAGCTGGACGCTCTTGGCGACAACGTAGTTCCGGCTAGGAAGACACACGCCTTTCTAAAATCGCTCCCCGATACACACTACGGTTTATTCAAGACCGTGCTGCTGTGCGAGAGGCCGAGTGGTGGTCGTGTCGCCTTGGACTTTGATGATGTGGCCAGTCGCGCAACTTTATTTCATGCTTCGCAACTCCGCGGAAAGATTTCTTCGAACAACGATGATGGTTCAGGCAGCCACGGCCGTGCGCTCAGCACGAGCGTGCATGGTGGGAGACGTGGATTCCGCCGGCAAGGTGAACGTGGACAAGGAGATCGACGCGGGAATAGCGTCGGGAACTC